CTCATAATAGATCACACCTTTCTGATCCCACCAAACACAGAGCATTGTCTTCCGTCCATAGCGATTTGGCCTTGCAGTCGATGTCGATGGTTCGCCTGGTGTTACCCATGATCTTTTACGCTTGGGATTCTCAAAATATATCCACTTTTCATCACCAGTCACAATTCGATGGAGAAATGACTTTCTTTTATACCTGGCGAGCAGCATTTCGCAAGTAGTTTTTCGGTTTTCCTGCTGTCTTTCATTCAGTTCATGTGGAACTCATTTTCCCATCTTCTGGATCTTTCCCATGGATTTCAAACATATGGAGACGGCTTCTCGTGTCACATTCAATTGATCCGCGAGTTGTTGAGTTTGAGCGTCATCCTCATCCAACAATGCTTGCAATTCGCTGCGTCTTCAAACTTTTTCGGTGGTTTTCCACGTTCTTCATTTCTCACGTAAAAATCGCCATTTTGAATTTTTTAAACCACTCAAAGTACTGTGATTTACCAAGAGCATGCTCACCGTAAGTTTCGACAAGCATTCGACGCGATTCTGCAACAGTTTTCTTCAAATGGTAACAGAAAATCAATGCTGTCCGCAAATCGTAGTTTCCAGCCACAAAATTCGACATGTTCAACGCTATATAGCGTTACAAACTGTACTGTTGTATGAAACTTGTATTGTTGTGAGTTGAAAATCTTTGTCAGATGTCAGAACAAGGAAATAGCGTCAATGACGCGGTCTGACGGCAACTACATTGACAGCTATGGCCATCTATTGGTAAATTCCGGTTTCATATTTACATTCTGGTATTTCGGAAAAGAAACTTGAAAAAAGGCAAAAAAAGCAGGATATTTGATCTTGAGATCTCCAATATTCCGATCACGTATCTTACGAGCTCAACCACAGGAACTTCTTGCTACTCAAGTTTATGAAGGGGATATATAACGCGCATGAAAAATCGTAAACAATTAAATATCTCGTAAACTGTTGCATTTTGATATAATTTATATTCTGGATTAATGGGAGAGGTATACTATTACTACAATTTATTAAAACTCATATGTTATTTAGAATGCCCTTCGTCCCTTATTGATATACTAAGCGATTAAGAAAGCATTTTCGGTCGCTTGAAACAAGCGATTAGAGTGAGAAGGACGACTCGCTATCTCGTTCGCTCTCGGCGCACTGAAGGTAAGCACATGTACATGAGCTTGTGTTTGTGTGTGTGGCTACTGATTTCGCCAGGCCGCCGTCTGACTCTGTGTCGCCACCATCAACGCAAAGTTCTTAGCTGAGTACTCAGGAGTTTTAAATTAATCAAATTATTAGATTATTTAGTATGAACTACTATTAATAAATAAATTGTTTCCTTTTTATAGGTGGATGGTCATACGAATAATAAATTACATAGCATGCAATTTAAAAAATATCCAATTAGCAAAGCGATATTCATGAAGGAAGGAACAGAAATTTTGCTTGGTTCCCAATATTATCCGTATTATCATACTTACGATTTAATGAATGGCAAGACATATAAATTCTCTTTGCCACACAGGATTACAAATATGAAGGTTCATAAAACTGTGACTGTCATAGTAGAAATAAATTTGCAGATGCTGCAGTATACATTTTAATATTTTCAGCGTTACGAAGTATCCCCTGATGGCAAATTAATAGCATTGTGCGGAAGATTGGGCGAGATATATTTGTTACATAGTTTTACTAAAGAAGTTGTTGGTACATTCAGAATGAATTCGAAATGTAGGGTACTAGCATTCACGCCAGATAATAAAACACTTATCTCACACGGTGGTAAGTATAAACTTTTATGGTTTTTACTTCAATATAAATTTTCCAACAAGATTTCCAAAGATTGATACATTAAATTTTTTTTCTCATTATTCAAATCGTAGATGGCAGTGAAATGTATATATGGGATTTGAATACTCGCACATGCATAAATCGTGCCATAGATGACGGAAGCTTATCTTGTACATCACTCGCCGTATCTCCGAGCGGACAGTTCGTAGCCACAGGTAGTGCACAGGGCGTAGTTAATCTCTATGATATGAAAACTGTGTTGGAGGATCAAAGTCCCGCGCCTCTAAAAATTTGGATGAATCTTGTGACTAGGGTTACAAGCCTGAAATTTAATCTGACCTCCGAGATACTGACTGCGGCGTCAGTTGACAAATACAACGCATTTAGAATGATGCATCTACCATCGTTTACCGTATTCTCAAATTTTCCAACGCTTCAGACTAATATAGGCATGTCGCAAACGATTAATTTTTCTCCCGGTAGTGGTTATCTCAGTATTTCGAATAGAACGGGTTCTGCCTTACTGTACAGATTAAGACATTATGGAAATTATTAATTATATTAATAAAAAATTTTTTTGTAACGTTTTTATACAGTATAAAAACCTGTATGAAATATATAAGATTAATGTAATAATCAGTGTAATCTGTTATATTAGCTAGTATATCTTAATTACTTTAGCCTACTTAGTGCTATTAATTTATTTTTGTACAGTTAATATTATTACAGTCCATGCGAAGCTACGAAATTTAAGAAAGATACTAATACATTATACACGTTACATGAGAAATTATAAAATTTTATGTCCAAAAAACAAAATTGTTTAAATTTTTGTTTATAGTATCACATATCAAGTTATACTTTTATTTCGTATTCATCATGTAGGATGTTAATTTTTTATTCTGCCTTTATTAAAAGTGTGTAACTTTTTAAAATTAAGTATGTATTATAATTTTAATTTCTCTTTATAAAGAAATAAATATTACATTTAAGGGTACATTCTCATTAGTAAGGCCGAAAAATAGGCTATTTTCATGATTTTTTTTTTGAGGAAAGTAAAAAATATAGACACTCAAAATTTTTCAGGTATATTTATGGTACTTTTAAGTTGCTTGTAAAAAAATTTTAAGTCATTTTATGAAAATCCCGAGGTAGGGCATGGTGCGCCGTGGACCACTGCGAAAAAAAAGGACCTCGCTGGCGACCGTCCTACAGGTCATAAGAATCATCTGAAACAAAAAATCGAAAAAGATTCTTGTTTAGTATGAGTGTGATTATGTCGTGAACCTCAGAAAATGAAATCTATCCAAAAATAACAAAATGGCGACGTTTTGAAATTTTTTTTTGTTTTTAATGAAATTTTTCGTTAGTTTTTTGTTTATAAAAAAATCAATTTGCAATGTATCGGTATAATTTTGGTTCACGCGATAGACAGTTTAATTAAGCGTATTTAAAAAAAAAAAACATTAAGATTCGTTGAAAATTGACTGAGTTATCACGGTCGCCAACTCGAAAAACGTTGTTTTCCAGAAAACGCGTTTAAAGTTTTAAGGATACTTACCGACGGCGTGCACTGCAACGCGAAAAACGCGGGAGACAAAAACGCACACGTGTTTCTCGTACGTTATAAAACTGATTTCACCAGTGTAATTCCCAATAATACAGTGTAAAGAGGCTCCATCTAAAGCCAAAAATAGAAAACCTTGAGTGAAATGGTCGGCGCTACTTGTGCCGCGCGACGCTCGTTACCTGCTTTGACGCGGTCGGCTCGGAGGCTCATAACTTTTGAACCGTTACGAATTTCGATTTGCCCTTTTTAACATGATATTCTAGACAGTTATAGCTATCGAATTCCGCAAAAAAAAATTTTGACCAAAATTTGACCCAACTGACGAGAATGTACCCTTAAATCGCCTTCATTCTATTTTTTCTCTTATCAAGATAAGATTTTTTTAATTTGTTAACCGCCTGCTTTTAATTTAAGACATAAATGATTATATACAAGTAATCAAGGTTGGGTAATGCTAAGTTAAAAAGTTAAAAATTAAGTTAAAAAGTTAATTAATTTTAACTTCATTTAGCTACATTTTAGACTTTTAACTTTTTAACTTTATATATAGTTTATATTTTATCGGTACCCAGATAGACAAGCGTGCGATACCCGCACAAGATACCGCTACCGTACTGTTACTGTACTGCCACGAGG